TCACCGCATGCCAACTCTTCATCTGTCACCTTCAGCATATTTCGGATCATTGATTCTCCTCTCTTGGTCAAGAGAACTTTTTCAGCATCTCAAACATAAAAATGGCTAAAACTCGATTTAAAATTGTGCTAGAAACTTGATTTTTATTGTAGTTTTATCGCTAAAAACTGTACTTTAATAGTAAGTTGATTTTTCGAAAAAACGCAAGAGACGCAGACAGCTAGACACTCTAGCTGTCTGCGCTCTCGCCTTTCTAGACTTTGAACAGTCGTAACTTTGCTCCTAGACGTCCTAAAACCGTGATTTTGGTTTCAAAATGTTCCAATTTGTCTGTTTTATTCAAAAATCCTAAATTCGTTTTTGGAATTTTTGACTAAAAGCTCAAATTTTCCAGGAATTCCTCGACAATCTCAACAGCATGCACTATTTCATCGATCAAATCGCATTTAAATCGGAGATGAAGGGTCCAACGTTTCAATGTGAACCATTTGGAGAATCTGGGCTAAAATTGCACTATTTCTCCTTTCGACAAGGGTTGTTTCCAATTGTAAAGGGGCTTGTGAGAAAAACTGCAAGGACCCTTTTCGAGATGGAGGTTAAGGTATGACTACAAAAAACGGGCCCTAGTTTCTTTCAAAATCAATATTTTCCGAATATTCAAATTGGATATAATTGAACTTGAAAAGCGCTTTAAAATGATACTATTGAGATTACTGTATCTTGACTATGAATAAAGTTACAAGCGTGAAACTCCTAAGCCAGACCTAGCGTCTTTTGCTGCCTGAATTTTTAGAACGTAACTTTGTTCACAGACAAGATACAGTATTCCAAGCACTTTCATTTTGTAGTGCTCGCCAAGTTCTATCATATCTGATTTAGTTGGTCTAAAAATATTGTCTCTGAAAGAAGCTGTAATAAGTTTTGTTTTCGATAACCCCAAATTTCCAGGTCAGTATGCTGGAAAGAAATCAAGAGCGGCGAAAATCCGGAATGGTAGAACATGTGATATTCTCTGTGGAACCAGATGACAATCATCGGAAGGGCAAGCGACTTTTCTACAAGTTCCGAAACACCAAAGCACAGGAAAGCTCTCCTATTTTCAATATTGTGAGTTTAAAGGGCAATGTACAGTACTTTGAGCTCAATTATCTCCTTTTCTGTGAGAGATATCAAAAAGTGATCAACTGATAAAATATTTCTGATATTATGATAAACATTTTGATAGTTGACAACTTCTTTGTATCTTTCATGGAAATTGAGATAAATTGATTTAACTAATTCTAAGGAGTTAGGCCTAGGGGATATATTAATGAAAATGCCATGTAACTCGGTCAGTTTTAGCTCAAATTGCATGAAAGTTGCATTGTTTTAAAGTTCTTAACAAGAGCTTCAAAATGAGTATAAACATGACATTTTTTATAAAATTCCTCTAATTTGGTTTTGGGTCTATGCCTTTAAAAACGTTTAAAAAAAGCCCTTTAAAAAGTAGCTTCCCGAAGTTTCTTAAGTTTCTCTATGAAGACAAACTTTTCGACATTTTTGAGCTACAAATTCAAATTTCCCGCCTTTTTTTACCCCTAAAACGGCGCTTTTTGGAGTTATTTGCAAATTTTGGTGTTTGCACAGAATCGGAGCTACAGTAATCCTGGGAAAATTCAAAAATTGAGTTAGAGACGCAGAGAAGACGAATTTCTAGGGTAGAATTTTGTGCTGAAAATGAATTTGGCATTGATTCTGACCTAATTTGGGTTTAAAGGCGCGGGTCCCGGAAAATTTGGAAAAAAATCTTCAAATTTGAAGAGGGGCTTGATTATACTCATTCGAACCAGAGTTTTGAGCTGAGTCTGAAAATGGAATAGTTTTTGGTCTAGAATGCAAATTTGAAGGATTACGGTAGAAAACGTTGCGCTGGCCGGAGAGTTTTGATTCCAAAAACTTCAAAGGGCCATATCTTGGCTCCTAGGAACCCTAGAATGCTGGTTTTTATTTTAAATTGTTGGATTTCAAATGGTTTATTCTGCAAAATTCAAAATTTTTCAGTCCACCCAAATGCTCGTCGGTCTGCGCGACTTCAAGAACATCTTCCCGTATCATGTGTGCTTCAACAAGCAAATGGTCATCGAACACCTTGGTAAGCTTCCCAAGTGATCGTTATTATGAAGGGGTTGCGTGTCGAGAGGCAACCTTCTTTCAAATTCATCAATTCTCCCCACATTTTGACGTCAAACGGCGGCGATGGCGCATTAATGATTAAACGGACATGGAAGAGAGGGGAAAAGGTGTGGGGAGTGTAATTATGAAAAGATAGTGACGAGAGGGATTGGTTTTTACAGGGCTTCAAAGAACTTTTCGTGTTCTAATTTTCAAATTTTCTAAAAATGTTGATTTTTAAAGAAGTTATGGGCATTTTTGTGAGTAAAGCCAATTTTCGAAATTCGGCCAAGTTTTGTATGGGCCCTAGCTTTTGGAATTTTGCTTCAAACTCAATAAAACCTATATTTTTGAATTTGTCCTGTTATAGGCTTTAAAATGAGCCTAAACACGACTAGGTTCCGTTCACTTTGACTTTTCAGGCGCGTCGCGGTCGGTGCGTTGCGTGTCGAGGTGAAATTTCAAAATAGGCGAAGCCTAGCCGTGCTTAGGCTCATTTTGAAGCGCTAGACAAGATAATTCGATTGGTGTCATTGAAAGTGAAGTTGGAGCAAAATTAAAAGCCTCAATGTGGTTTTTTTTCAGGAATCTATCTCCTCCGTGAATATGGTCTGGAAAACAAGAAGACCCTCAAAGTCAGTGACCTCATGCAACTTGTTCAGCCCTCTGACATCCAATTGACCTATAAAAATGTGCTTAGTTATCTGAACACTCTGTTTATCTTCCAATTGAAGCATCACAGTAAACGGAATGAAGTTCAAGAGGGCTCTTCTGAAGCCTTTCAACAACCACTGGTCCTAAAAGGAGAAATGATGCCATTGAACGATGGTAACTCTATTATCTTCATTTGCTCACCTCATGTGACTACGGTAGGTCCTTTCTTTTTAGGGATTAAGACAAGTTTTATATCTTTAGGTTCGCGACATTCTAAACCTCAAGTTATACATCTCGGATATGCCCATGCACGATGCCACCAGAGACTTGGTCATGTTGAATCAATCAAGAATTTGTCAAATGGAATTGAAGTTAGTTTTTGGAAAAAAACAAAAAAGAGTGTGGCGCCAGTGGGAGTCGAATCCGCGACCTCTAGATTCAAAAGCAGGCGCGTTAGCCAGTAGACTACTCGCGCATCATAAAACATGGAAAGGCAGATGGCGTATAAGAAGGGGGAGGGAAGGGAAGTGGAGAGGGGAGCGGAGGGGAGCGGAGAGTCTAATATTTGGAAATTGTAAAAAGCTTAAAATACTATTTTTCAGCAAAAAACTGGAAGAGACCATGAAAAAGATGAAGCGAATGACCGAAGAGTTGGAGGTCAAAAAATCGCAAACTGATCGGCTCCTATTTGAGTTTGTGCCACCAGTGATTGCCGAGGCATTGCGAGCCTCGAAGCCAGTTCCAGCGCGTAAGTTTGAGCTTAATTATCTCGGTTACTGTAATAGATATCAAATAGTTGTCAACTGATAAAATGTTTGTTAAAATGTCATAAACATTTTGTTAGTTGACTACTTCTTGATATCTTTAACAGGAATTGAGATATAAAGATTTTAAGTTGACAGTGCAAAGTAAAGAAACCTCTAGCTTTGAGCTCAATTATCTAGCTTCCTAAAAAAGATATCAAAATGTGGCCAACTAATAAAATGTTTATCATAATATTAGCTACATTTTATCAGTTGACAAATTGTTGATATCTTTTCCAGGAACTAAAATATATAGGCTCCAACTTGGAAGCTCCAAAAATCCCTATAAATGAACTCAATTTTTCCAGAAGAATTCTCGGATTGCTCAGTAATCTTCACGGACATCCCCGACTTCTTCACAATTAGTGTCAATTGCTCACCAAAAGAGATCATCACCCTGGTCACTGATCTCTTCCATCGGTTCGATCGAATTATTGAGAAACACAAGGGCTACAAGGTCTTATCTCTTATGGATAGCTATTTGATAGTTGGTGGTGTCCCAAATGCCAATCAATATCACTGTGAAGATAGTCTCAATTTGGCGTTGGGTCTGTTGTTTGAGGCAAGACAAGTGGAAGTGCCCAAATTGGGTCAATATGTTCGATTGAGAATTGGTGTACATTGTGGACCAGTTGTGGCTGGAATTGTTAGTCAGCAGAAGCCAAGGTAAAGCTTCTTTAAAAGTTTATTCAAAATTTAAGACTTTCCACACATTACTGTCCAATCTTCATCTTTTTAACTCATCTAGAAGCCAAGGTACTGCGCTTTGAAGTAGAAAATGCCATGAAATCGATGACTGGAGTGGGCAGCGAGGATATCCGGGATTTTTAGGGAATTACTGTAGTTTAGAGACAAATAAATCATATAAATTGTATATTATCTGAAAGCTTAAAGTCTGACAATCAAAATGCGCTAAAAATGAAATTTCTAGCTTAATTCTGAAGCGAGTTATAGCCATTTTTGCAATTGAGAGACGCAGAGAATCTAGAGCGCTCTCGTTTCTCTGCGTCTCTCTAAAGCGCTGTATCTCGGCTCCTAGATGAGCTAGAAAGATGAAAATTGGAAAAAGTTGTTCATGTTACCTTAAAATCTGTATGTTACACATTTCTATCTAGTTTTCGCTTTTCTAGCTCATTGGGAAGAGAGGGGGACGCAGAGAAACGAGAGCGCGCTCGTTTCTCTGCGTCTCTCATATGGCTATAACTCGCGTTGGAATAGGCATAGAAAAATGGTTTTTCTTGCGATTTGATCGGAAAACTTTGTACAATATGGTTTTTTGTTGAAACATTGTGATTCTCACAAAATTCCAAAATTTCAAAAAACTAATTTATGAGAAACATATAAAATTGTATATCGCCTAAAAGTTCATAGTCTGACAATTAAAATGCGTCAAGAATCAAGTTTCTAGCTCATCCAGGAGCTGAGTTACAGCGCTTCAAAGTTTTCGAAGAGACGCAGAGACGCGAGAGTGCACTCTAGTTTCTCTGCGTCTCTTCAAAACTTCAAAGGGCCGTATCTCGGCTCCCAGATGAGCTAGAAACTTGGTTTTTCTTGTATTTTATAGGATTTGAAGCCGCAAACTCAAAAAACATAAAAATTCAGATTCTGCGTGCTCGGAAACACTGTAAACATCACGAAAAACATCTGCGCCCATAGTCAACCCGGAAAAGCTCTGGTCAGCAATGCAGTTCGAACGTAAGCTCCGAGTTATTACATTTTTTGAATTCCCGCCATTTCAGAATGGTCACCAAGCACTTGAAGAGCATTTTTGTGTTCAACGCAAATGGTTATCTAGAATTGGCCACTGGAAAAGTGCTTACTCATTTTCTGGAGAAGAACGAGAAGTGTAGCGTATGGGATATTGTGGATCGGGAGAAAGGTGAGTGGGACACTGGGACATTGGGACATTGGGACATAGATTCAAAAAGAGGCTTTTTCAGCCACCAACGACAGTATCGATGGCTATCGTGAACTCCACTCGGACAATGGAACTGTGGAATGGCAGGAGGCAACGGCAGCGGCGTTCAGGGTTATATCGGTAAGTGCGCTCCAGCTCCATTATCTCGCTTTCTGTGAAAGATACAAACATGTTGTCAACTGACAAAATAATGCTGATAATACGATAAAAATTTTGTTAGTTATCCACTTTTTGATATCTCCTACAGTAACCGAGATATATACATAAACTCAAAGTCGCCTGTTGTCTCAGATTCTGAGGGTAGCTTTCAGGGCTCATAACTCCGGGTCCAGTTTACCCTTTTTTTTTTGAAAATTAGATTTTTAGATTTTGCAGGTTTTGTAGATTGCACTTCAAAAATAACAAAAAACAAACTTCAAACCTAGAGCCACTTTTGGGAGCAGTTTCCTACCCGCTAGCGGATAGTATGGTAAACAACTTTAAGCTCCATTATCTCGATTTCTGTAAAAAGATATCAAAAAGTAGTCAACTGACAAAATAAGGCTGATAATATGATACGCATTTTGTTAGTTGATCACTTTTTGATAACTCTTATGGTAAGCTAGATATATATAGGGTTAAAGTTGATGAAATGAAAAAATGGATTTTTAAGAATTTTAAGAGAACCTGGAATATCTCAACAAAACTTTTTTCGATTTTTCTAATTTTTGTATCATTCAAGTTGTGAAGTTTTGAGCTTTCAAATGATATCCCACACGACCTGTTTTTTCTATTAAAACAGTACAAAATACAAAGTTATTGCAGGATTTTCTAAAAATTTCGTTTTTTGAAAATTTCAAAAAAGTTTAATTTTCTATATCTTTCATCGTTTTTCTAGTTACCATATTCTGATGGAAATTCTGCATTTAAAACATTGAGAGCTTCAAAATGAGCCCAAACACGACTAGGCTCCGCCCATTTCGAAATTTCACCTCGACACGCGACGCAACGACCGCGACGCGCTTGATAAATCAAAGTGGGCGGAGCCTGGTCGTGTTTATACTCATTTAAAAGCTTATAACAGGACAAATTCAAAAATATGAGTTTCATGAAGTTTAACGCGGAATTTCAAAAGTTAGGACCCATACAAAAATTGAAATCAAGCTGACTTCAGAAAATATGAATCGGAAAAATGCCATAAATTTTTTGAAAACCAACATTTTTTCAAATTTCAAAAACCAAAACATAGCCCTTGAAAAGCTCTATAAACAATATATAAATTTCCCGGTCGTCGACGCTCTTGACAACAAGCAGAGCCGTACGAAGAAGGCTCTAACCAGACTACGATCCGTGAAACGGAAATTCCGAACGATTCAAAGCAACGACAGCGGGGTGTCGGTTAGTGAGCCAAATGTGGAGAGCGCTGTGTGCTCGATTATGTGAATTTCTATAAATTTCAAAAATTTGTTTGAATTGATTAATTTTTATTTAATTGCATGATTCTGTATTTTTATAATAACTTTGAAGAATTCGAATAATAAATGCATTTAGTTTATTTCAAATCTTTAAAAAAACCACATTGATACATTACAAATGACTTAATACATGAACGAACGATGTGTTCTGTACTGTAACTTGCTGACATCCAGCTGATCATCGAATTGGAATCCAGTTGGAAGATTCATTGGATCCTTCATCTTTCCTAGATTCCTTCTAACTGCCACGTGGCGAATGATTCCGTCAAATGGCTCATCGTGCATGTCCCATTCGTTACGTCGATGTTCACAGAGATGATAGGATGGTGTGAAGAAACAGGACCATGCATTGATTGAGAAAACGAATGAGGAGAGGAGGAGCATGGAGCAGGCAGGCCAGTATCTCTGGAAACATTGGTTTCTTGATTCCTATCTCGATTCCTGTGAAAGATATCAAAAAGTGGTGAACTGATAAAATTTTTATGATAATGTGATAAACAATTTATCAGTTGATCACTTTTTTATATCTATGACAGGAAGCGAGATAAATTGGCTCAAAGTTGAAAGATAAGGGAGGCGGGGGGGGGGGGGCTTCGAGAAGGGCGCAGAACTGTCAACTTTGAGCCGATTTATCTGACTGCCTGTGAAAGATATTGAAAAGTGGTCAACTGATAAAATGTTTATGATAATGTGATAAACAATTTAATAGTTGACAACTTTTTGAAACATTTGAATTTTGGACCTTAAAGGCGCATGGGTCTTTGCGAAAATCAGCGCAAAAATCAAAATTATTCGAATATAGCCGTGTTTATACTCATTTTAAAGCTTAAAACAAGACAAGTACAGAAATATAGGTTAAATCAAGTTTGAAGCTAAACTTCGAAAGTTAGGACCCAAAACTCACTGATATACAAACTGTCCCGTAAAACACTGCCAAATGAAACAAGCCAAATAGAACTACATGTAGTTTGATCCCAGAAAACGGTTGATTTTCAGGCGGAAGAATTAGGTAGAGATGTGTGCCAATGTTGCAGATGAAGATGTATGCAAAGAAACAACACAGAAGAGCCACAAGCAGAATTCTTGCACATGTCTGAAATAGAAGCTCATTTTAGGCACCAACTTTGAGCTCAGCTATCTCGCTTCCTGTGAAAGATAGGAAAATTTTGTCAACTGATAAAATATTGGTGGTATTATGATAAAGATTTTATCTGTTGACAGATGTTTCCTATCTTTTACAGGAACCAAGATGATTGAGCTCGTTAAGTTCTTACCGCATAGTAAAAGTTGAAGCTCATCCCCAAAAAGCACCCGAAAACGATCCAATGCAAGGAAATCATTCCGAAGAATCCCAGAATCACATGATTTAAGTTCTGAACTTTGGGTTTTCTGACCTGAAGTAACACTTTTGCCCACGGGGCGACTCCAATTATGAGCAGAATGAAAAAAGCGAGTGAGTCAAAGCCCAGATATACAGTTTCCGAGTTTTGACCAACAACATAGAGATGTGAGGCAGCTATCCAGATGATACAATGCCAGAACATAAAATGGCATAGTCGGAATGGCCGAAGATAGGTGTAGAACTCAAAAACGCATGTGATTGTGAACCATAGGGGATTGATAAGGAAGATAATGAATCGTTTTAGAACGTAGAAGAATGTTAAATCAGGCTCTTTCTGAAGACGTGCCATTGTTGATCGATTGGGAGGAAAGACTGGGAAAGGAGAGAATGGACCAAGTAGGTGGGTAGAATGGGGGGAGGAGACAAAGGGGGTGGCATTGACCTCTATAGAGATTACGTCAAACATATGTTGAGGGGCCTAGATAGCATTGCCAGATGGCAGGCTAGGATGCCTAAGATGGGGATCTAATTCTATCCGTGTCTGTGCTCATTTCCCTGCATTTCAAACATTAAATTTGAACTCCCCTTGTTTTGCGCTTCAAAATGAGCCCAAACACGCCCATGCTCCGCCCACTTTGAATTTTCAGATGCGTCGCGGTCGGTGCGTCGCAGTTTGGCAGTTGGAATTGCTTCGGTTCTTCTTACGGTATGTTGCCAGTGGTAAAAGGGTCCCTTAACTTAGAGCCTATTTATCTAGCTTCATACAAGTGATACCAAAAAGTAGTCAACTTATAAAATTTAGCTGATATTATGATAAAAATTTTATCAGTTGACCACTTTTTGATATCTTTAACAGGAACCGAGATAAATCAAATCCAGCAAACCAATGCTTTCCACTCAAACCCAGCGACTCACCCCATAAGGGTCCCTTAACTTTGAATCTGTCTATCTCGGTTCTTGTTGAAGATATCAAAAATTAATAAACTGATAAAAGATAGCTGATATTATGATAAACATTCTATCAGTTGACTACTTTTTGATATCTCGTAAAAGAACCGAGATAAATTCAATGTTTCCAGAAATTCTAGCCCATCTGCGTTCTTCTCCTCCTCTCCTCATTCGTTTTCTCAATCAATGCGCGGTCCTGCTTCTATGTGAACATTGAAAATACAAATGTGATATGCTGAAATCACCTGGAATCATTTGCCACGTGGCAGTTAGAAGGAATCTAGAGAAGGTCCAAAGGATCCAATGAATCTTCCAACTGGATTCCAATTCGATGATCAGCTGGATGTCAGCGGATTATAGTATACTGTGCTGGAGTCTTTTAGGCAACCAATGGGTATTTTATACCACCGGAGGGTTTTGTGGCCCACGATCCAAGGGTACATCGAAAAAGGGTA